TTATTGATCCAGCAGGTTGGATTTTGAATGCAGATTCTTTTTTACATTTTTTTTCTTTTTTACAGCATCTGGTGCAAATACTGCATTTTTGTGGCTTTTTAAAAATGAGACGTGCAGAATGAAGTTAGATTTGTTTCATTTTTCTGACAGAAACACACGAAACGTTCGAAGACTGTCGGAGAATCTAACATTTTTTTTGACTCTTTGAATCTGTTTGCCGTCTTTTCATTTATTTGCATTTATTTTTTTCTTCTTGTTTTGTCGTTATCTTGATTTTGCGTCGCTTTATTTGGCCTCACTGTCTGGCTTCCTGTTCTTATGTTGCCTTCTGCTTTTCCCACCAAAGCACTTCATAAAGGTACCGCTGAAGTAAAGTTATTCATGTTCAGCGACTTGTGACTCGTACCGCCAGGTGTTTGTGATGCCCTGTCCCACGTCCCAGCTGCTGGTGAACCTGCAGTACCTGGACCTGTCCGACAACCTGCTGACCGACCTGACTCTGGTGGAGACGCTGTGTGATGACACAGAAACTCTGAAGGAGCTCCGAGTTTTAAACATCAGTGGAAATGCTCTGAAGGTGTCTGCATGAAACTTAGAGTAGAATTCATGTCGTCTGGTGTCTGATGTCTTGTTTGCCAGAAGCTCTTTTATGAAGACAACATGTCTCTGTCCCACTTCTGTCCAGTCTTTGTCCACGGTGAGCCGGCTGGTTACAAAGTTCTCCAAGCTGACCCACCTGGACATCAGCAGGACCGTCTACAGCTCCATGCCCTCCAGCTGCCCCTGGCCCTCCACCCTGCGATACCTCAACATCTCTGGGGCTAAGCTCACCACCACCACTCCCTGTCTGCCCATAACCCTGGAGGTATGGAGGTTGAACCATGGAGCACAGAGCCTAACACTGATGTAAGACTTTCATCTTGTACTTTATTGTTTACAGGTGTTGGATCTGAGCAACAACAATCTCAGAGGCTTCACTCAGCGCCTGCCTGTGCTCAGAGAGCTCCACCTCTCCGGGAACAAATTTCTGAGTTTACCGCCTGGGCAGCTCTTCCCCAGTCTGCAAACTCTGACAATACAGGTAAGACACAAGTCACATATCTACTTCCAGTCCTCTTTGTGTGCTCTCCAGTAGGGTTGGACCGATTACCGGACTGGCTGATCGTCGTGGCCAGTATTTGGTGTTTTTACCGTTATCAGTATTGTTGTTTTTATTGGCCGATTATCGATGCAGACTCCTCGCTCTGTCAGTCGTCACTCCGTGGCCTCAGAAATGTCTCTCAAGCTGAGACTGAAACAGAAAATCAGCTCCTCTCACAGTGGCTAAGGCTAAGCTAACAGCTAGCGTCTAAGTTCGAAGGCAAATTACCCTGAAACAGAGTCTGGAAAACAACACTTAATTAACACCTAGTTATGAATGACAGGTTCTCTTCTATCACATGCTGTTAAAACATCACATTCAATGTATATATTTTCCAAATATCAGCTATCGGCCTTTCTTGATTACTAATAACCGGCATGGGCCCTACAAACCCCATATCGCTGGGTCCCGACTCCCCAGTTTGACTCCCTTTGTCTATTTTTTTTTTTTTTACAGTTAAACACCCTGAACATGTTCGGCCACTCAGACCTCCAGTCATTCAGACGACTCGAGAACCTCCAGGCGGGTCAGAACAAGTTTGTTTGCTCCTGTGACTTCGTCAACTTCCTCCAGTCGACACTTAAAGGAGACGGAGACGTCCAGTTAAGAGACGGGGAGGACAGCTACGTCTGCGACTCTCCTCTCTACCTGCAGGGGGAACCGGTGGGTCGAGTCCACCTCTCTGTGGTCGTGTGTCATCGGGTTGTGTTTGTGTCTGTGAGCTGTGGGCTGGCGCTGTTCGTAGGGGTTCTGCTGGGTGTCCTGCTGTGGCGCCTCCACGTCTTCTGGTACCTGAAGATGACCTGGGCTTGGCTCAAGGCCAAGCACAGCTCCCGGCGCCGGCAGAAACGCAGAGACGTCGAAGGTTCAGAAGCGTTGCTGCCGTTCGATGCTTTTGTCTCCTACAGTGAAAGAGATGCCAGCTGGGTGGAAAACTTCTTGGTGCCTGAGCTGGAGGAGCCGAGGTGAGTTTTGTCTTTTCTCTGTCAGTAGGGAAAGTGAATGCAGTGGACACAGCTTTGAGAGGAATTTGACCAAAAGCTGAGCCATGAACCGAAGAACACGACTGCATCATTCACTTTCTGGCTCATAACGCGTTAACCCTTCAGCCTTGATTACTCTCCCTTCACAGAAAGTTGTGGAGTCTTCAGACATGTCATTGTAGCGTAGCCGCCGCAAGGACTCAAGCAAAATGAACGCCACTGGTCTTTGGTATACTTACGTGAGTGCCACAGCTACCTGCAGCTGTACATGATAAAATATCCATACGAGGGAGTATGTGGGTAGTATGTGATATATCCAGCGTGTCTCAGTACATAATTGTCAAATACCAGAAATACCGAGTTCAAGACACGAGAAGCGAATTCAAGTCCAAGATACTGACATGACCTGGATTCCAGTTTCATTGAAAGAATAGAATTGATGTGACAAGAGAGAAAGTGTTTCCTCAGACATGTTCCTCCTCAGAGAGGCAGAATCTTGACAGGTTTTCTTGTTAATACTCCAACAGCGAGCTCGACTCTGGGAATCCCAGAACCTCCCGACCGCTGACGCTGTGCCTCCACAAGCGGGACTTCCTTCCTGGACACTGGATCGTGGACAACATCATGAGCGCCATAGAGCGCAGCCGGCGGACCGTCTTCGTCCTCTCCGAGAATTTCGTGCAGTCCGACTGGTGCCGATACGAGCTGGACTTCTCCCACTTCTGGCTTTTCGACGGCCAGGCCGGCGGGGAGGCGGCCATCTTGATCCTGCTGGAGCCGCTGTCCAAGGACGACGTCCCCAAGCGCTTCTGCAAACTGCGCAAACTCATGAGCTCCACCACCTACCTGGAGTGGCCTCAGGAGGAGGAGAGACGGGCGGAGTTCTGGAGGAGCCTCCGCAAGGCTTTGAGAGGAGGCGATGAGGAGGACGACTGACGGAGAACGAATGGAAAGAGGAAGAGAGATGGACGAGGAAGAGGACGGCCATGAAGACCAGAAGTAAAGTCATGAGGTGGGAAAGGCTGACGCAGAAGCTTTGTACGCTTTGATGAGTCAAAAATGAGAAAACAGGAGGGAAAAAGTGTTTCCTTTTCAATTAAACGTTCTCTTGATTTCTAAAATACTTATTCGTCTAAAGCAGGGGTGAGAAATCCTGGTCCTCGAGGGCCACAATCCTGCACGTTTTAGATGTTTCCTTCTTCCAACACACCTGATTCCAATGATCAGGATCGTTATCAGGCTTCTGCAGAGCTTGATGATGAGCTGATCATTTGAATCAGGTGTGTTGGAAACATCTAAAACATGCAGGATTGTGGCCCTCCAGGACCAGGATTGCCCACCCCTGCTCTAAAGCCTGGGCCGTCAAACTCTGACGCTGCAGGTTGTCCTGAAGGTAGTTGGATTAACCGTGAGCAGCAGCTGTCCCTGGATGTCTTGGATGGTCGGTGACATTTAACCCACTGTTCCATGACGCTGTTTATCACAGGCAGACACAGTAACACAAACAGACTTCCAGGCCATCCTTGAACTGCTCATCTATCGGAGAACGACGTTTGATTGACATCGCTGTACGCTGCAGTTAAAAATTAAAACCCTAAAATTATGTTTGCAGGCAAACTGCAGAGCAAAAGTATGGAAGCAAATTAAATATGTGAGTAGTCTGATTTCTATAACTTGTAAAGCTGTCACTTTTTTCCCCCCCAGTGTTGGTTACACTTGTTGGATATTCTCTGCCGTTTGTTTTTCTTTTTATCATTTTGTGAAATAAATCAAACAAAATCTGCCATTAAATTGTTCTTTTTTTTATGTCATTCTGCAAAAAAAGGGACTTCTCTGAGTTCTCTCTACCTCTTGCCATGGTTCTGTTGTAGTTTCTTTTGATGTCAGAACATATGGTTGAGTTTTGCTGGTAGTTTGGTGAAATGGCCACTTGGGGGAGCTGTTGATTCATCGTTGATGCTTCGTCAATCAGGACAGCTGTGTTTCCTCCAGAGTTCACCTGGAGGCCCTGCAACATGCAAGCATCCCAAAACCAAAAGCCAGCCTTTGAAGCTTTATTCTGGTTTGGATGTGATTTTTTTTGGCAAGTTTCTAATTTAGCACGAGCTTAAATCAGGTTTTTTTTCCCCATTAAACAGGTTCATACTGTTTATTTGAGTTCATACAAATTCATTTTACCATCCAGGAGCTGTGACAAAAACCATGTTTGCCGTCAAATTGCGGTGGAATGAGACAAAAAGAAGAGAAAAACAATGAATACAGGAAACTGCAGAGGACGATAAATGTGAGTTTTAATACAATACCAAGATATTACAACAGCGAAATGAAAGGCTTCACCAACGACGGAAGCTGGTTCTGATTCCAGTGCGTCCTCAAACTACCACTCAAGGCCAGAAAACATCATCAGCGATATGAAACCAAACAGCACTTCCACTGTGATGGTTATAACTGCAGAAGCTGAGCATAAAAACCAAAAACATACGAGTTCACCTAAAACACAAAGCTGGACCTGATAAGTTTCAGAGAAAACAAACAAACAAACATTTAATGCACTTTGTCGAGTGATTATTTGGAGTAAAATGATTTCATGAATAAGAAAATGATCTCTGCAGCCAGATGTGGTTGGCCGCTCTGTCGAGGAGCGTCTGATTGGTTACCTAACTCTCCTGCTTGGGCTCGCCGGGATCTTCATCTTTCAGACCCTCTGTTGGAAATTCACCCTCCTGCCCCTCATGTCCAGTTTACCTCAGTCCAACCACAGACTGAATGGCATCTTGTAAGTCTGAGTTTCCCTCTGCTGCCTTTTCAACTCTGTCCAACAGCTCCTTGTTTCCACTCGCATGCAGATTACGCACAAAGCTTTCAAATATAGTCAGCACAGGCTGTGCAAACTCAATCACACTCTGCTTCTTTTCTGAAATCTCTGGAAACCCATAGCAATACCCTGCAGTGTGCAAACCAAAAACTCTGCACCCGACATCAAACACTGGGGAGCCAGAAGATCCGTGATACATGAAGGTGTTGTCGGTCACAACTTTGTCTGCTTTACATCCTCCCTCCAATGTGCTTTCAATGCCTTGTTGTTTGAGCGCTTCGACGACTGACTGGACAACGAACAGCTTGTCTTTGTAGGGGTGTAACTGTTGGCCCACTGCCTGCCCTCGATTGTCTATTTCAATGATGCATGTAGGATCTATTTTTTTCACTTCTCCTGCTGGGTGGCCAATCAGACAGGCTTCACCATTGGCAGGTGGAGGACCAAATTCACTCAGGAGCCCTGGTGGGATTTTAGCTGTTTCAGCTGCTTGGTTTTGTTTCTGGTCCTCAGGCTTGAGCTCCAGTATGGCATAGCCCAGCTTCAAGTCAAAGTCAATCAGTGTCTTCTCTGCAGTGAAAGTGTGGTAATCAGTGTGTGGCTCAGGTTCTTCATAGTTAAAAAGGGCATAAACATTGGTGCCTTCCCGCAGCTTGTTTCCTTCAACACGTTTGTTTAATAAATGCGCATTGGTCAGGATGAACCTATCGAACAGCACAAAGCCTGTTCCCTGACAAACATCCTGAACTATGAGCTTACAAACTGACTTGCCCAGTTGGAGCAGCTTCCTGACTCTGTGAACTTCACTGAAAGACTGTTGGATCTTCCCAAAGTTCTCCTTCTTCAGCTCCAGAGCTCTCTGATAAGAATCACCAGGGAGTGTAATCTCCATCAATTTGATCAGATCCTGAATCTGCTCACTCAGTCGTCTATTCATCGTCCCAGCATTGCCGGCGCTCCCTGACTCATCCTTTGCTTTATTTACACTGACTGGTTGCTTGTTGCTCACCTGTACTTTGTCACTTCTTCTTCTTTCGAGACATATCTTGAATTTTTTCTGATCTACATTGTCGACCTTTTGTTTGCAAACAGTGTATTCATCTGACTTGTCAACTTCGCACAGTTTGAAGCCTTGAAGGTCAACGAAGCGTCCGTCTCTTTCCAGAGCCTCCTTCACAGTCGTTCCTTTCTTTGCATAGACACAGAGATAGTCGAACTCTTTGACAAGACTGCTTTGAAAAAGCTTCTTTGTTCTTGCGTTTTCTCCTCCCTCTCTAGAAATGTAAAAGACAGAATATCTATCGTTCTGCTCTATTTCGTCACGTTGAGCTGGAACCTTTTCCACCTCCTCTGTTTTACAGTGTACGATCAGACACTCATCGTTCTGGACACAAGAACAAGGGAAATGTGTTGCTACGATTGATTTTGTACCCTTTTCACTCAGCTGAATGATGAGTTTCTCATCTGTACACTTGTTTTCCACATATTGTTCATTCAGACTTGATTTAATTGCCTCCAGCACTGTGCGAGGTTGATCACAGTAAATGACGTATTTCTTCCCCGTTTTTCCGAATCTCACGGTGAACCGATGTGAATGTCGATCCTGCAGGAAATCAGAGTGACAAAGTTAAAGTTACTTGATCCCCTTTAAACACAAAAAGGAAAACACAGCTCGTACATCAGTGTACTGACCATTGGACCAACATCCTCCTCTTTCTCTCCCTCCTCCTTTTTCACTCTCACATCACTGGCTGCAGCCATCTGCAAAGGAATAAAAACAGACATTTCCAG